GCTCTTCCCTACGTATCACAACATGATGTATCATGCCTTTCCAGCAGAAAACCCTGCCACTCAGGACATTCCTCTTCATTGTAACATATTTGATTTTCAAAAGAGGAACTAATAAACAACATTATGATAAGCAACTCTCCTGGTCTCTCAAAGCTGTAATTCATCTTTCCACGTTCTCTTTTATTTGTTACTTTTTACCATGGTAGATCTAGCTCAAGATAGCATGCCTACATGGAAATGAACAGAAAGCTGAGAATTCTGATGCGTCTTTAAGCCTCTTACGCACAACAAAGCACTTCAGAACTTAAGGTTATTCCACAATTAGGTTCTTAATTGAATTTAACATCACTGAACAAAAGTGTCAACCCTGCTCAACTTCTAGCTGTCACCACCTAAAGACATGCTTTGGTGCTAGAACAGGCAATGTGCAGACTTACCCTCAACACCCTTTCAATAACAGAAAGTTGGCTGCACAGAGGCGCCAATATTTATTTTTCTCCTTTGCTTCCTTAAGTTTGGTCTCCTTCAAGTTCCCAACAGCAAATATTTTGCTGTGATTTTGCATTTGACTTCCCACACGTCCTGTTTAAAACTGCTCTGCAATACCGGGATGGCTGGAATGGCATGGGATTGGGGTTTGATGGAAGATGGGAACTGTAGGTGGACACAGCCCGTTATTTCCACGTGGATCCTTGGGTCATGGAGGAAGCAGCTAGGGCTGCACTTTCTGCAGCTTACTCATAATATCAAATTCCTATTTAATCTTCAAGAGGGAAATTTGAAACAAACATCCAATAACTGCTCTGGCAGTTAATATGCACTAAATCTTGAAAACATTTCTGCAATTAAGACTAGTAAAGGTTTCTGATTAACACATCTGGAGTGCAATATTTAGAATCTAAACTTAGCTTCAGTAATAAAAACTGCAGTTTAGCAGACAATGCACAAAACAAATTCGATCCCATAAAATACTGGCACTTAAAAGACCGGGTAGGAAATGGCCCCATGAAGCTTTTTCCTTGTTTTTTTGAGGGAAGCCAAAAGCCTCAAAACTGAAGTTGCAAAAGCGGCTTCAATTGGGTAAACTGGAAGAAGGGGACAATTTCTACATCAAATATTAAATGAGATATGTGATGTTCCAGGGCAAAACTTAGCAGATAGCTAAGTGAAAGACATTTCTACAGCTAGCATTTCTGTCACACACTTCTGAATATCACAACTGTTCTTCCAGCACCCTGGTTCACAGGTTCCTTAGGATTATATATATATTTATATACAGAAGCATTCAAATCTTTGCTAAAATGTGAGAGCAGCACTCTATGTGCAAAAGCATTCTCAACAGCCTATTTCACTGCTATACCTATACAAATGTTCATTGTTTATAAACATAAAAGCTGTATTCTCTTCAAAACTTTATGGCAGCTTCAAATCCCTTCCTGTTACTTTGTAGAAAGACACAGCATTTCTAATCCAGTTTTCAGGACCTTGGGTTTTGTGTGTGTCATTCTTTTTCATTTTTTTTTAATTTTATTTCCAGCAACAAAACATCTCGCGTAACGCTGGGGTGCACTGCTTCTCACTGGGGTGCTAACTCAGGAGGGGAAAGGGACACATGTTGATTCCTCAGCACCATGTCCTGAGGTGTGGTGATTTCTTTTTTATCATCTTTTTTTTTTTTTATCTTGGAAGATCTTTTATGATAAGTCTGCTGAAGCTCCATACCTTACCTCACAATCTCTGCTTCTCACAGCTGGACATGGCAGGGGTGAAAGGCTACAAAAGCAAGTTCAGAGGCATTCTACTCACTCCAGTGATAAAGCAGCTGGTAGATTTTAGTGTCTAGAGCAAAGTCTTTTCTAATTACCCAATCAAAAATATATGGAGCTGAACTTGCAAAACAGGTCCAACAAAATTTCACAAATCATTAAGGGGACTAAATTTGTAATGATTTATACAGGTCTTTTATATCTACAGATGAGATGGGTTGTATAAGCACAACAGTCATTACCGTGTCATGTGGAGATCTCCAGCCTGCACCAAGCCTGGGCCAAAACCAATGCCTGGCATTTAGCCAACCAATATTTTCAAAACAGGACTGATTTCTGGAAACCAGAAGCAACATTCAGAGCATCTTTCTTTAGAAAGAACCATTATTGACTGAAAGCTTAAGAGATAGAGGATGGTAAAGTACTGAACCGAGACTAAGGAGAGCCGTGTTCTTTTTAAAACCCACATGGTTATGCTTCCCTTTAAAGCAGTAGACTTGATTTACAGGGTCAGCAACGGCTGCTATAAACAGGATAAATCTCCAGAGCCTTTGTGTACCTTTTACTGAAGGGAGCGAAAACACACTGCTATTTACTCTGTGTGCGTGTGTTCTGTATCCAGAATTGTGAACAGATGTGGTTCTTATCAGTGAATGAGTGATGCATTTACTACTTCACCTCCCTCACTCCCTTCATAAGACCAACACTAAGAGGGGTCTAATTCTATATAATAATAAGACAAAACATAATACTATGCAATCAGCTGGTTCCAGGTATTTATTGCTTTGAATGTGTTACGCAGGAACTGGTATCTGGAGGAGGGAAGCAAAGATGAAGAAGACAAATGCTAGTATGTAAGACCACAGAATCAATATTACTCCCACCCTGGCTATTTTCAGTCAGGAAAAGAGGCTTTTCCTAGCCATTTCTCTTAGATGTTGCTAACAGAATCCTTAATAAGAGGACAGCAAATCCAAATTCTTCTTCCACTAGCAAATACTGATCAATATAAATTACCTCTCAAATTTTGCTGTTGCAGACATTTAGAGAAGCCTGGATTCGCTCATCTTATAGCCTGAAATTGTCTGTGTAAAGATCAAGCAGAAAGGAAAAGGAGTGAAAGCTTCTCATTTTGCCTTGCTACAACAATTCAACTATTCATTTATAACGCCTCTGACTCCACAAAAGGCATGGTGCAGAGCGTACAATCCACGGTTCCCGCTGAAGTGGTTGTGGAGATGGCTAATTCCTCTGCTGGGGCTGTGTTAGGATGGGACATGCCCATGCGCTCAAGGAGTTTGGTAAAACACCACAAGTTGGTTCTGGGATACCAGAATAACATTTCTAAACAAAACAAATAACTGATTTATGCGCCACAGCATTTCAGCTAGGCATTGTGGAGCCTAAATCTAAGCCTATTTAGACAGTTGATCCTAGAACATAACTGATACAGTGCCTTGGAACTGAAAGCCACCGCCTCCCTTGGCCAGCCTGCTGTATTCACAAACATTTGGAAACTCCAGTTTTTAACTTTGCAGAAGTTGCCAGCGTTATGTCAGTTCGAGCTCCTTCTCCTCTCTCCCCCATCACGATAAGTGCTGGTGAAAAACTGAATCGCCACTTTTGTTTAAGTGTCGGGGAGAGCCACCCACAGAGCGATCCATCCCTTCCCTAACTGTTTCTCCACTCCACTTCCCCAGTTTCCCTCCTGAGAAATCGCTGGCTGGAACGTACAGCAGTCCTGCTCCAGATCCTGACTCCCTCCAACAGAGTCACAGCAACTCTTACCCCAGCGATCGCAGAGAAATGCCTTTAAAAAGAAGCTCTTTGAGCCTGTGCACTGCTAAAAGGCTGCAGATGAGACTTCAAAAGCTTGTGCAAGAATCTGGACACTCCATCCATATTAACTTTAGTAGGAATTGATGTCCAAATCCATCCCTACAAGCCTGAAGCACAGAGCCCACATTCCTTGCTCATAACAGAGGGAAAATATATTCCCTGTTCACTTGGACTGGACGTTAGGAAACAAATTGCCACCCCAAAGCACAATAAATTGTACGCAGTGATTGTGCGGGAGGAGATATGATGCACACCTACTACTACATTACAGCAGAAGTAACAAGGAGGGAGTAGAAGTGTTTTGGGTTCTCTGCAGAGTTGAACAGCGTGTCTGGTTTTATTCAGCACAGCGGAACAAGGAATGAGTTCAAAACAGGCACCATAAATCATAAGCCTGGATAATTTCTGTGCAAAGAGAATGAAAACGCTTCAAACAACTTACTATAGAGAGTAAGATGAAATAAAAATAATAATTGTAGAGAAGATGAAGATACTTTTTTTTATCCTCTTGTAACAATAATGAAGGGATAGTTAAGTGAAATGCAAAATAGAATCATAGCTGATTAAAGGAAGTAAATGCTCTTTTATACTATGCATCAGGCACCACTGGAACTCGTTGCTGCAAGAGACTACATCGACAATTTGGGGGATTTTTTGCCTTGTTTGTTTTTAAATTTTGCTGTTTATACAGCTAACAGGAACATCGAATTTCAGGACCAGACAGCATGCTGGGCTGGACTTGTTCCGTAGATAATTAGAAGCTTATTTCCTGGCCTGTCCCTTTCTGATGTATCATGCCAGGCATGTTATTAATGCTTGCTAATAACTAAGAGGCATGTCTCAGTAATACCCTATTTTCTTCCAACAATTGAGCAGCTAAGCACATCTTTTCATGACGGGCAATTTCCATAGAGTTTACATTGCAGAAGCCTCCCATTACTTTGAAAAAAGTAAGGCAATTCTCCACTAACGACCTATCCAATAGAAATGATCATTCACTGTCTGTTTCTGATACTCATTAAAAATTCCCTTAAGCGCTAATAAGCAGAGCTCCTGAGCGTGAGGTTGTGGAGCCACAGGTTTAGAAAGAGAGTGTCTACCTAAGACAAAAAGGCTGGCTGCTGACTAAGGCTCTAACTTAGTAACTGGAAGCCTCAGGTCCAAGTCCTGGGTCCCTCCTAGGCTGATGGTATGGCCCTGGACAGGTTATTCAGGCCAGGTCTGTATTAAGACCATTTTACTTGGTAAAATTACACCAGAACATCACAGTAGCTGAGCCTACTGTGGATACTCTTTGCACAGGCATAACAGCGATTCTGCCAGGGAATAAATAATATATTTGCCAAAGATAGTACTGAAAAGAGGTTATATAGATGTTTCACATTATATAAGTTACATATACTGTGTCAGCTGCAAGAGTTTGCCCCCCCTTCTGTTTACACTGTTAGTTCCAACTCTGTATTTGATAGAAGAAAAAGAATCCCAGCTCCTCTCCCATGCCTTAGAAACAGTATGACAGCATTCAACCATAACCAGCTGTAGGTACCACTCAAACTGGAATGCAGCCCAAGGCAGCTGAGAATTACAGGAGTAAAAGGATGACAGTAGCTGTCCCTCAGAGGACAGCGACAAGGAATCAAAGGCACGTGCTGAGCCTTGGGTACCTGACACGGACGTCTTGGAGCTGTGCTGGTGAGCGTGGCTGGCTTACGTGTCAGTCACCTATATAAATCTCAATAAAACCAAACTAAACCAAACCCTGCATCTTACAGAACAGAAAGGAGCAATCTGATCTGGTGTTCTCAAGTGTGTCTAAACTTCAGTGATTTATGACCTTAAGAAAAGCACTAAATGAAATAGCAGCCTCTGTCTTCCTTTGCCTGGGTATTACTTTGTTTTGATTTTGCTCTTAAGCCAGGCTTTAAAGAGTGTTGCTATATGCCTAGGGCCGCTGCCTCCCTCCACACAAACCAGTTTTGCAAAACAGCCAATATGTGTCAGGAATTTGCAATGAAGAGACCCATTTAGTCCATCATGGGGTGGAGGTAGTGCAGGTTCCTCCACTTCCCAGTGCTCACTCCACTTCCCAGTGTTCATACAGCAGCTGTAGGTGAACACCCAAACACACAATCTTAGTTGCGTTAGATGACTTACTATGATGTGCAGTACTTACTTCAGAGGGCAGCTGAGTGCTGAAATGCCTAAAGGCTAAAGCCATTTCACAGTTTGGGAGCCACAAGGATGCGCATACACGCTATATTGTGTCATTTAGCACATTTAAGGCAACCCTTAGGCAAAAATGTAAGAAGCCTAAGAATGGTTCCTATCAACGATATCCATGGGTCTAGATAAAGCCATCTCATGACAACATGTGCCTAGCTTGGTGGGTCATAACGTGTATGATTTGGCCTTGTCAACCAAAGCCTGCACCTGTAACAGGCACGTTACTCCCTCCATGCACTGCATTTTGTCATAAAGAAACCGATGTTATCCACTGCTGTGAGTCCTTTCCTAGATAATTACCTTGATCCACGCATGAAGCACAGAGGAATGTCTCAACAGCTAAACAATAATTTGGCAAAATCTCGTTATCGACAGGCCTCTGGAGAATACAAAATGTCCTAAAAATTAGAGGACACGGTTATCACTCTGTAAACACAAAGACCCATCATATAAGATGGGTTAATTAATCCAGTCTTTGACAGCTGCATTTTTGGCTTCTCATTTTTGGAAGGGCTTTCACTTAAACCTGCCAGTTCCAGTGCATATTGTGAACCAAAATTTCGAAGCAAAGTCTTTGGTAGAATATAGGCTGTCAGTGAAACCAATGACACTGTGGATCAACAAGGACACCCCAGAAAGCAGAGATGCAGGGGAAATTAGAAAGGACAGACAGCAGCATGGCTACAGAGTCTTGTACTCAGAGATCAGGCTTTGGAGTTGATTTATCGGTGTGAATGAATTTTTTGGTTACAAAAAAGTGGTAAATAGGTGGCTTGCCCTGCAGTCTGCGTTATTCTTGGTAATGGATTATACATAATTCACTACGCGTCCTGCTTGAAATGCATTCAAGCACCTGGAAAGAGTGAGGGCTTCTGGTCAGATCCTACTTCCAACAATGCCTTTGAAGCACCTACAGATGATAGACATGATGGGCAATGGCAATTTCCAGAACAAGTCCTGGACAAGATATCTCAGAGGAAAAAAAAAACCCAATGCCTGAAAAAGCATTTAATCTCTGGACTCTTAAATGTGCAACGGCCACTCTGCACACCTCATCAAACAGTTTTGACCACAGGAACTAAAAGAGCCAGTTTTCTGAGACTGCCTGCCCCAAACAGCTCACTGTCTCACAGGAGTAGGATTTAGGTAAAATGATTTCTCAGTCCTGTTTCTTCCTTTCCCAGCCTGCCTCTCATTTCCTTCAGTGGGAAATCTACCTGTTCCCAGTGGAGAAAGTAAGAGATTTCCTTTCTTGATATGTGAGATACCCCTGAAAGCATGAGTTATACCATATTTATTTAATATCTAGTTGGCTAAAACTTCCCCTCAAGTTATTATTTTGTTGCAGGGAAGATCCCCTCAACATATGTTGCAGGGAAATCCCCCCCAAAGATAGGAACCTTACTCCTCTTTGCTTCACTTAGATGCTAGCTCAAGTAATTTCATTTGAAATTCCCAATGACAGCACTCAGCGCTGCAAGCTTTAACTTTTTTATATCAAACCTCTCTTTCAAGATACCATTTCTCCTGCAGCAGACAACACGGTGCCTATTTCCACTAGGGAGGTAGGAGCTGGGATGATTAAGCGGTCTCTGATAACAGGCTCTTAGTTTTTACAGACTTTGAAATAAACTGCTTGGACAAAGGGAATATTCATGGTTGCAGTCTGACAAGGGCAAACATTCAACCGTGTGTACACCAGATAGCCTTCTGCGGGGGAAGAAGCAAAACAGGCGAGCATATGTAAGTTATATGCTGAAATAAACATCATGATAATTTTTGAGTTGAGGGAACACCATCATTCTGTCCTCCCCCACGCTCCCAAATTAATCACAGAAAGCAAAAGAAAAAAAAAACAACTTGTATGAATAATGACACAAAACTATTAAAGAGCTGTAGCAGCGTTCATCAGAAAAACAACCACCACACAGGACTATGTTCCAGAAACCCACTCACTCTGTGATCTCAGCAAACAGCAAGAAAATGGTTTACTTACTTCAGCATGGGGAAAAGGAGGTTCTGGAAGATATACCTTTGTTTGTTTGTTATGACACAACCTTTAAAAGAAAAGGAAAATAAGCTGGGTTAGAGAGCTGCGGAACAGCCTGCAGTGTCTGCTGCCATCTACTGCTAAACTTTTTCTGGAGAAAGCCATTTCTTATCTGCGGCATCAGGTGCAAAATCACCAATTTGTTTTGTTACTTCCAGTCTTTCTGCTTAGAGGACCAACACCTACAGGTCACGACAACTCAGTCATAGCGAGATCACTTAGAGAAAGTGCAAAACGGCTGAAGTAATACTGTACACACTATGTAACAGAAGTCCTTTGCTGTTGAAGACAAACCTGTAATTCAACATCCACATCATTTCATAGTCCGGACCTCAGCTGTTTTTGCAAAGCCAAATCACCTGTCAACAGAAAAATTCCAATTGCCTCATCCCACTTCTCAGCAGTGACTTGGTCCTTTTGTTCGTTATAATCGAATTCCCCTAAGCGTTTTATTATTGCAGCCACAATGTTGGTAAACTGCCTCTCACCGTGGCACAATGCTCACTGTTACCTGCTGTTTTACATCAATCATTTATTATTAAAATATAAATATTGAAAGTTGTTGATCAGCTCTAGCCAGACTCCTGATTCATCCTATTACAGAAGTTAAAAAAAGATATTTGTCAGAGGCCTGTGTGATGTTACAATTAGCTGTAGTGACACTGTCCTGGTGGCTTTTTCTGGGAAACACTACCTGTCTCATACTTCTTCACTTTATTATAGAGCAATAAGCCTGGGTCAAACTAAATTTGATAAAGTCTAAGAGATACTAGGAGCAGGACATTTCTTTTAGCTGACTAAATAGTAGAACTGGAAGGCTGAAATCCCTGAATTTCAACCCCAGTTCTGACCCCAAGCCTCTCTTTTACAGATGTTCAACCTCTGCCTCCATTTCTACCTAAGTAAAACATTTACCTTACACATAAGTGTTTGGAGATTAGGTAATGTTGGTTTTGACTTTTGGATATAAGCCACAAAGTGTCTGAACACTTGGGTGTCTGAATTGTGCCAGCTAGACACCACAGACAAAAGGACCCAACTGGCACAGGTATCAGTACTGCTACTTTGACAGCAATACCTAACCCAAAGGATTACTACAACAAGAGCTACGCAGCTACCACTTCAGCTGCTACTGAAATGAAATCACCATGTAAGCACAAACCAAACAATTGCTTAATTATAAACTATGTGAGCCAACACACTGTGATGAGTACACTGAAGTTTGGCCAGGACACCAAGCCTTGATTGTCGTACTTTTGCTGAAAGTAATGTGATTAAAATTCATCAGATTTCATTCCTCTTTACAATTCTCCTGAGGGATCAATTCACCTAAGACTTCCAGGACCTCTCTTTTCTTTCCTGAACTCCAGACTGAAAAAATCTGGAAGAAAGGAAGGAAAAGCTAACTTAGTCTACTTAATAATCTAGAGCACCTCTCAGTTTGTAAGAATTTAGGACCAGTGACAAGTGGCTGGGTTCTCCTTTCCACGGCTCAGAATCACAGAATGGTTGAGGCTGGAAGGGACCTCTTGAGATCACCAAGTTCAACCCCCTGCTCAAGCATTCTCAGCTAGAGCAGGTCGTCCTGGACTGCCTCCAGTTGGGTTTTGGTGTCTCCACAGATAGAGACTCCACAACCTCTCTGCACAACCTGTTCCAGTGTTTGACCACCCTCACAGTAAGAAAGTGTGTTTCTTTTGTTCAGACGAAATGCCATGTGCTTTAATTTGTGCTTCTTGTTCTGTCTGTGGGCACTACTGAGAAGAGTCTGGGTCTCTCATCCTCATTTCCTCCCACCAGGTACACACACTGATAAGATCCCCTCGAGCCTTCCATTCTCTGCGCTGAAGAGTCCCAGCTCTCTCAGCCTCTCCTCATCCGAAAGATCGTCTTTGTGGCCCTGTGCTGGCCTCACTCCAGTAAGCCCATATCCTTCTTGTACTGGGGAGCCCAGAACGAGACACGGCACTCTCCATGTAGCCTCACCAGTGCTGAGCAGAGAAGGATCACCTTCCCTGACCTCCTGACAGTGCTCTGCCTAATGCAGCCCAGGATACTGGTGGCCTTTTTTTGCCACACAAATACATTGCTGGCTCAGCAAAATTAAGCCTGAAAAATCGATTTTGCTTATACAGGGAGACCATGGTATAGTTTCGCGGGCACTGGATAAGACGTGCAAGCAGGCACAGCCAAAATTCACTCAAGTCAGTACATCATTTAATCATAAGTGCAAGTACCAATAAGGACAGATTACTTGACTTTGTATGTTCTATAGGAAACGATGCTTCCCTAATTATAGAACATCTCCTTACACACGGACGCACACCCTTGTGACTCAAGAAACGTGTTCACAATTCTAATCAAGTATATATTAGAATATGTCAAGTAGGGATAACCTGCATATATCTATCTATTTACCATAGCTGAGTGTGTCAATTGAGGCTGACGAAGCGGCCCTTTAACACCTACCATTCAGCAAAGATCTGGGAGAACTCAAGGGAGCTGTTGGCAACAGGTGAGATGAAATAAAAAGGGACATTGGAGAGTCCGGCAGAGTCAATAAACTGATACAGGCACTCCAGCAGATCGTATATGACTCCAGAGGGGTAACAGGGAACCAGCACATTTCCTCCATTCCGGACAGTCATAGCTAAGGGAGAGAGAAAGTAAAAATCAATTAACAGGGTTCATATTTAAAGTTTTTAATAGAATTTCTTTAATCCAAATATTACATAAGGTATAGAAAGAAGCGATCGCATGAATTAGCAGAACAAATTATGCATATGAATTGGGAAGAACGCTTCTAATGATTAAATACATTTATTTACTGCCTTCTCCAGGCTTAGCGGAGCAAATGATTATACTCCATCAGCTGGGGGGGCATGGAACAGATTGAGCACATGCGAAACTCCTGACACGAGAGGGCAGTCTTGCACTGGCACATGAGGATAAATGAGTGACACAAAACACCTTACCATCAAAATAAACCCTGCTCCATCTATTAGCTGCCCACCAGAGGGGAAGGACAACAGTTCGCAGGTGTCCGCTGAAAGCACTACGCATGGTGAACTGTTCTGTACTCAGTTTTCAGAGCTCTAGATGAATGGCTGAAGGTGTGGTCATTTCAAACAGGCCTAGACGCTAGAAGGGGGCGGGGGAGTGTGTCTCTTTCTTAAAAACTTTAAATATTTCTGTCCTTTCAATATAACAAGAACAATTTAAAACCTCCATGAATTGTAGACAGCATGGGACTAGAGAAAAATGAGGAAAAGAAAAAAGAAAAATAGGTTTACTCTGTAATTGAGACAGATCTGAGTACAACAGCAAAAGCAAGTACAAAGCAAACATTTTGCTCTTTTGGCAGAATGAATTACAAAAATCCTGTGCCTTATGGGAAAGTGGAAATACTTTGTCCAGCTCACTGAGCAATTGCTGCCTCGCTAGGATTTCATCTGTGGTCGTGGGGTAAAACCATCTACTGATGCTAATTGCAATGCAGGAGCAGTAACATTATGCATCAAGGCGTTACACAAAAAGCTGTGAAAGAGCCTGAAAACGCATATATTACATCCCGCCATAATCACTTCCTTGACTTTAATTTATTGACAAGCTTTGATGGGGTACGGATTTAGAACATTAAGGGTCTTTTTGCCCCACCTACACGTTCAAGGAAGATTTTTATGGCTGAATGTTTAAAGGTTTTACGGAGCCTAGGGAAATGCACAGACTCCGTAGTAGCATTTTTCCCATGCATTTAGGTGCTTAACTCCTTTTAGCAGTCAGTGCCTATTACACGCTGCTCTCAACAACAACTGGTGGTCAAAGACACCTTCTATATCAGAGTTATAACTGCAGTGTAGTGGATTTATTGCCTAGGTTTTCTACAGGTCACATACAAACTAAACCATCAAAATATTTGTGAATATGAATAGCAATACTTTACATTTGTCTAGAACCTGAGATGCTACAAAACATCCCAGCAATGTGTTATGGGTAAATCTAAACTATCCCATCTGTAAACAGGATGTGAAGAGAGGAATGAGGAGATAAAGAACGACATTTTCAAAGCCATCTGGGGGCTGAAAGTTATGCCTCTGGCTCCAGGACCAGAATTTACATTGCTTCATTATGGTCCCAAAAATCCTGCAAAGAGGCAAGGTAAGTACCTATATCCAGGGCAGCAGGAGCGCTGCATGGGCCAAAGACGCGGGCCGCAGAGTGCAGGGCGCATTAGTGATCAGTGGAAAATGCTAAGGAAAGGGGTATGTCTGCAGCTCTGTCTCTGCTCTGAACAAAGACACTGGCTGAACACCAAGGTGTGTGTCTCCATGAAACGGGTTCCTTCTTCACCAACTAGCTTCACCTGGTTAAGACGGATGGCTCACTCCTCCCTTCGAAGAGGCTGGAGGAAGAGCTTTCTTCTAAAAGAAAGCTGCTTAAAGAGTTTGTCCAGGCCATGAAAAATGTGAGTTACATTCCTAAGCCTTAGAGTTTGAATTCATAGCTCTCCCTTCCCCGCAGCCATCGCTTCGCTATGGGAACCTCAAGCCTTTTCTGTTGAAAACAACCAGAAGTTCAAGATTCCTGGGGCCACAGAGAAAATAACAGAGGGTAAGGTCTTGGAGCAGACGCCAACTTGAGTTTCTGTTCCCAAGAAAACTGCAGAGCTGGTTACCAATAATTAATATAAAATCACAATCCAGGAGGGGAGCACTCTTCCAGCCAGCTGTGCTACCCCGAGGCCAGGGACCCAGGGCTGCTGGCCCCTTGAATCTCACGTTCCTGGAGGCACAGCGATGCACCTTTGAAACTGGTAAATGCTTCTACTCCCCAGGACAGAAAAAGACAGCAACACAGCTATCCCACCGCTGACAAGGCTCTGTGTGACAACTTTTCGGTTTAGAGTACACAGTTCCTCGGTGCAGGTTTATTTGTATGTGCTGTGGTCAGCACAGCTGGGCACTACTTCTTGAGGGTGCTCTTAAGTGGTTCCATAAAGGGACAAGAATTACCTCCCAGCTTCTGCAAAACAGGGATGAAAACCTTTACACGAATATTGCTTTCCATGCAAGCAGCAGGTCCAATCTGGCTCTCTGCACCACTAAGACAACTTTCTATAGTTGTCAGTAAGAGGACACGTATATTTGAAAGCTGTTTAAAGCCCAATTTATCTCTGTGACTGATGGATGCACTCTCTTGATAAAAGTTGTATAATAATCTTGGCATTTCAAATTTAGTCTCCTTCAGTAGCTCCATAACAAGTTGTTCAATTTACAACTCACAATGAGATACTTGCTTTTCCAACAGCTGCCACCACAAGGTCAAGTTGGCACCTAAAAAGCAAACTGTGCTCTTTGCTGCTTTATATAAACACACGCACACACACAGAGAGGCACGACCGCACGCGCACACAAAATATCACAAACTGTCCCTACAGACAGTCTGGTAATTTTGCTGATGATGCCCAAGGCAATGTACAATTGCTTTTCTTGAGTTGCAGAGTGCTGGTGCTGCAGTGCTGAGCACAGAAAAAAAGGGGTTTGGGCTAAACCGAGAGGAACTTGGAGACGTGACAAAGCTCGGTTTTGGTGCTGCACACACAATGCAGAGAGGAAATCATGCATGTGACTTGGTAATAATGGGAATCAGCGTCTACAACTCTACATGCTGGGATAAAAACAGAGATCAAGGTGAAATTTTCACACTTCCATTTCTGTGCTTCACAACACTTACTCACAAACATGCTGCTACCTCACGATAGACATCTTTGGTAAAGAAGTGTCTGCTTTAGAGTTTTTACCTAGTATATTCTGAACTTCTTGTGAAGTCCCCTGAATATTTTAGAAATGGGAAAAATACATGAAAACTATTGTGCTCAGCTTCCCTACTCTATTGCCTTTCCCAGTAACCTATTGCTTTTTGAAATTTTTTGCACATCTGAAAGAAAATTGATTCACTGTTTTCTTCTCCTGATGTTGGGTAGATGTGTAAATACTGCTGGTGTCATGTAAAAGACAGCCCTACCACTGCATTATTCATAGAATTACTTAATTTCTTCAGGTTGCTGGGTTTTGGCAAATACCACTCAAATTCCAGATTCTTACAATGGCATTATTTTAAGCATTTATCTTCCTTTGGTCTTTAATAGTTTTCTAATTTCTCTGAGTTTGCCTCATTCAAGATAGAAGCCGGCTTGAAGACCTCCTGCAAAACCCTCAAAATAGTTCCGAACGGTTCTGTAAACCAGAACAACTTGTGCAGATAAACACCCACCTGTACCTACATATGTAACACGTTTATTTATACGCATTCATCTTTTGGATTTTGCTTTGGCCCAAGCTACATCTCTAAGGATTTTGTTTAATTTTAAAAAGCATTTTAATTAACAACGGTCTCACTCTTGTTTACTTAGCATACAGCTGTTGCAGTTCAAGACACGAGTGACCACCAAGGTGCTTGCTAGAGCGCATTTGCAGCAGGGCAACACGTACCACTCCTTGGCCTCTCCAGTACAAAGTCTAACATTCCAGCTCAGACTTGCTTCCTTGGTGGTTTAAGGTTAAGATGATAGGATGTGATCATGCCACCATCTGTCAGGGGGACAGGAACCCCCATAAAGGTCCAGAAGGGACAGAGAAGGGCAGCACATCTGGATCTAGCACAACAAGGTCACCAAAGCTTATCTGCGACAGCTCATAGGGTAATAAAATTAACAATGCTTAAAAACAATGAAAACACAGACTGTAATAGACACACACATATAAACACGTGCATCACTTAGGAAAGGAAGTCACAGGTGTTAAAAATTAACACAGCTTCAAGGGGAGGTTGAACAAGTTCCTGGAAGAGAAATCCACTGAACATTACTAACTACACAAAAGCCATGTCTGATTCAGGAAATTCCTGAAATAAAAATACTTGAAGGCTATGAGATTGTGAGGCGAAAGTATCATATAATCTAACCCTGTACTCTACTCTTCCCTAGACATCTGCTCATGGGCTCTGTTGGAGCCAGGATGTTGGCAGAGAGGATCTTTGGTATAACCCATGATGACCATTCTTATAAAATGCCAAAACACACTCTATTAATAGGGATCTACAAGGAATCATCCTGACCCTGTAACTCACCTTTTCATAGAAACAAAACCCACATAATTTTACCTTGTACATCCCACACCAGGCCCTGTGACTCCTGTTTGAACTGAAACATGTCCTGAACAGGGATATCTGATTTCAATTTAGAGATGGTGGGTGATGGAGGAGTCTCCCACACTCCTTGTAGTATTCACCTTCCACTACCATGGCAGTCCCATACTGGGATACATAGATATTCAGCATCTGTGAATATGCACAAGGATTCTAAAATGGGGGAAAAAACCCAGTGTCTTGTGGGTTTTTTTCCTTCTCCAAGGGTACATTCATATGTAAAAAGTAAGACTAAGAATTTGCACTTCAGTTCTGTTCTCAACCTTATTCTGCAACCTTGGGTAAGCCACCTAACATACTACAGCTCAAATTTCTCCCAGGTGTGTAATGGGGACCAAAACACTCGCTTACAGTGAGGATTCCCTGATTTAGACCTCTAATGTCTTTTGATAACCTTTGCAAGAATCCTCCTATCACAAGCTTTTTAGTCGCCTTTGTAAAAAGTAGCTAGTTTAAAATAAAGGGTAGATCTCTGATAAAAGAACAGGCAATACACAGCAGGACAGACATGAGAAACTGGTTTGATGACGGAAGGGTGAGAGCACAGAGGAACTGAGGTGGGGGAAGGGGAGAAAAGGAGAGAACAGCACTGGATGTGACATTCCAAACAGGCTGGAAAATGCTGCCATTCACACTGATATCACAGCTTTGCAATTATCAGCTTTTCCAGCTGTGAAAGCGTCTGATTAGGTTTTATATTTCTGGGGTCTATAAATATATCTTGATATATTTTTTTAAACAGAGATTGTGCTGTTTGCTTTTGATATATTTAAAAATCAGGTGTAAGAAGGGAAGCAGATGTGCTTGTTTTCAAAACTGAAAGTCATAAAAAAGCATGTAAAGATTTTACACTGGCTGATATACAGGAAGGAAATAGTAATATTTCAGCTGGGAACAATATCCAAAACCTAGGCAACACGTAGTCTGTTGGCAGCTAAGCAACATACTTAGCAAACCAAGAGCAGCAGATGATTAAATCTCATTATACCTGTTCCATTCCAAAACATTTTAGGTACAACTTGTGTCTCTCCAAGCACTTACTGTATTAATGACATCAGGAGCACATCGTAAAATCTAAACAGCTAGTTTTATGCCAGAAGCTATAGCTGGACAACTTACTCAATTCCAGGAATCTCAGAATTATTTCCCACCCAAGCAACGAATAAGATGATAAAATAGGCAAAAGACATCTTTCAACGACCTACCCAAGTTGTTGCAGAACTCTCCTACCATGCCATCTGGGTTAGCAGTAGGGATTTGTGTAAGACCCGTCAGGATGAGAACATCGCTATTTTTAAGAGAAGCCTGGTCCATGGGCTGAAACAGAGCACAGTGAAATAAAACGAGTAACAGGAGAGTTATAACACAGGTTTCTCTGCTCTGTACCAAGACGACTGCAATACATAATAGATACAGTGATCAAGAAGGAGAACACATGGAACACTTTAAACTTAACATTCCTCCATCTGTGGAAATGTAACTGGAGTTAATAAAAACACATACAACTGTTTACCTGCACACTACAGCCCAAAACAAACAACGGAACTGTAACTGGATCCACCTCCAAGTAGTCTCCATAGACCAATCATTTCATGGCCTCAGGAGCTGAGCACGGAAAAGGCAATCATTTGCTGAGGATGTGGCAGTACAGGCAGGAAAGGTTTGACACTTGCATTCCTGTCTCTGGCTGCACTAGTTTCCAGCTCGCTTCCCTTTGCAAATCAAAGTGTCAGCTTTGATGCCCAGGACTCACTGGCTACAGGAGGCGGTGCCATTTTCCTCAGCCATTCAGTGGATTCTCTTTGGAAGAGGTGAGATCAGCAAAGGACTTTGGGCGTGAAGCTCTCGATTTTGCGTATGAGTCTGAATGCCGCACAAGGCTTTCCCTTGACTGTGAAGCCTGCTCTTCTGCCCACAGTATTACAATCCTGACTTTCAAATACTCATTTCAGTTTGTTTACCCAGGCCTTTTTAGAAGTCTGCTTTTGTGAAATGGTAAATGGCTACTGCTGGTAGAAAAGAGAAATTGGTTTCAATTCCGTAATATTGATAAATTTTGTTTATTTATCTAAGAAATAATCACTTACACATATTAATTTTTTTAATGTAGCTATAACATCAGACCAAACAGACAAGCCAGTAGCTGAAAACAGATGAAAAATCAGCTTCAACTGCACAAAAAAAAAACCCATACAAAAATGTAGTGCTCCCAATGCAACACCAGAGCTAAAATAATAGAGAAAATATAACTTGGCTTACCAGCCTCCCCTAGTGAATCAGATTAGCACTATGCCCTCCTCCAAATGCCTTTCTTTGAAGACTGTGCTAGAGGCTAAGCTATGTCAAAGTGAAACAGATGTCTTCACAGGGCTACGACCTCTGATCCGCTGGGTCTACAGTGTATGCTGTACTGACACCTACAGTCATAGGTACAAGCCTAGATTTTGCGGTTAAAGTGTTGAGGGTAGCTATCACAAGCATCTATCCATGTCCGCTTCCTGGGGGACAGAAGAGTTTGTACCTGCAGAGTCTATCCTGTGGCTCACAGATGTAGCAGAGGGACCGATGATTAAATGGTCCAAGGAAATAGTGTGCCAACTTGGCCACTGGCAGGCAGTCTAATGTTAAAGCAAACGTTGTGCTTCTGCCTCGACTGTGCATGAAGGCTCACACTTTATTCACTGAGGTCAATCATTTGACATGTTTTATACCGGCATTTTATTAAAGCAGAATGAAAATGCATATCCACTTCTCTCCATTAGCAAACATAGAGTAGATATTCAGAAATTATATTTAAGTGTGACCTGATACTAAATATATATTCTTGATACTCAAAATTTAGCATAATTCAATCTTGAAAAGGCAAAATCCACTTCTCTCTCTGCAGATGCAGTACAGCTATGGTGAAAAGTTAACTTCTAGCCTTGCTCTGGGCTGGGATGCACTTCCACAGCTACTATTCAAGCAAAGGTGGGCAACTGCAGCCAGCTGCATCGTATTTTATGGTTATTTACTCTCAATAGACCCTCTTCAGTCTTACCAACCATGAAAGACTTCTACCAGAAGAGACTGATGAAGAGATTTCTTCTACTGAACTTAGAAGATCACTGTACAGTTAATTCCCTTGCTCACAGTCCCTCCGTGCCATTCTTAAGTAGCTGAGGAAGACTGCTCTGTTAAACAGGCAGGGGAGTTTCATATCAACTTCAACAGAAGTTTACGCTGCGCACCACCTCGTAGGACCAGACCTGTTACGTGAGATTTATTGCAATCTTTGACTCTCCATAGCATGTCCGTGAAAATAAAATGCCAATAATGCAATAAAAAATAATATTGAATCTGCCTGTGATAATGTACATAATGATTATGCCATATTAGATACGCATAATTTCAGCTGCTATTGCACGGAGAGGGCTTGCATCGATTTTTGTGGGTGAATGTAAAGAATATGTCTTAAAAGGCTTTTAGTGACATGTCTGAACCTGTGCTGTCAACTCCCATTCTCCACTTCAGTGGCAACAGTGTCAATTCTAGCCTCAGCAGAGGGTGAGGCAAAATTTTCAATAGAAACCATCTGCCAGAAGACAGAAGTAAAAGGAACAATTAATGGTGCCAGACCGAACTCTCAAACAAACCCTTTAAAGCTCTTCAGTTATTTTCAGCAGCTATGAATACAGTCTTGCTGAACCCTTCACTTGCACTTCCTACAGACTCGCTGAGGATTTCACAAGATATTCCTTCTGCTGCATCGAAGAACAGCCCA